CCCCCCCCCCAAGTCCTTAAACTGCTAACACTCAGACAGAATAGACAGGAGGAGAGTGAGGGAGGGGCCAGCAGAGGCTTGTAAAGGGCAGGGTGTGGGGGCGGGGGGACGATGACACAAACTCAAACAGGAGCCCCAGCAGACCAGCTTTGGGACAGCAGTGGTGACAAGGCAGGCAGACTGATCCCAGACAGAACCACGGCACTTATTGGGACTCAAACCTACAACCTATAGGTCACAGGCCTGATTCCTCAATCATGTTCCTGCCAGCTGGCATCCTTATGCATTTTCCTAGCTACTCTGACACTGCTGCGCAAAGCCTATTGTCATCTGAGCCATTCGCACGGGACATTTCAGTGCCCATCATTAGGTTTGGGTGCTTTTGGAGAGATAGGGAAAAGTGCCCAGATCTCCTGCTGAAGTGAAGTTCAAGCACATTAACACAACACTTATAAATGCAGCCAGAACAGCATGATTGTCAAAGTAAGGAGGCCCCAGAATGAGAGGAGGGTCCAAGTTAGGACTGGGATCAGATCATTGCTGACACACTGTGGTCTGGAATATGAATTTTCAGTCCCTCTGTCGTGTGAAGGAAGTGATCCGTGCATGAGGTTTGCATTTCTTCTGTGGGCTGGAGTCCCTCACTGCATACTGCCAGCATTGCTTTGACAGGTCCTGCACACGTCTGGCTGGATTCACACGTTACCATGAGCGGTGTCACCACTGTGACGGCACTGTCAGTCATGATGCCAGGCCACCAAGAGGAGACGCTGCCCCTAAGAGTGACTTAAAGGCATCAGAGGGAGTAGCACCCCAAGGGCCAGCCCCGCCCACATGGGCTGTCCTCCGCACGTGCCCAGGGTTACGGCAAATCATCACGGGTGACATGGTCAGTGTGCAAAGTCACGCTCCAGCATGAGCTCTCGCTGAATCAGAGAAGGTCATTCATGCGTCACTCTCTCCACAAGCTGCCTCGCTCGCTCTCTTCCCCGCGGACCGGTACCGTCTGCTCACGCTGGACCCTGTGGTACAGCCTCTGCCATCCGCACCCAAACATAAGCATGAATCCACATGCTTTAATACCTGAATTGTCAGTGTGGACAATGGCAGAGATTTCTGCTTAATATTCACCATTAGCGATGACTTATACGATGGTTAGGGTTAAGAATTCTATAACATTCGTTGAGTAATATTTTTTATATATAAAAATATATTTTAACCACAGTTTTAAAGACATGTATACCTATGTACAAAATCTTCCTCCGAATGTTTCAATCGCTTATGTTTTCTGAATGGAAGCAATATGGGATATTGTTCCACTTTAGTAAACGACACGTAGGCCTGCATCAAATATAGCAAAACAGACAAGCCCACACCCCGTTAACTCATAGCGGGCTGTTATGTTCCCGGATCTAATTAAAGCACGATTGTAATATGCGGCATTAATCACAATTGCCAAAAGCGACCGTCTGAAAGCACCGCCCAGATTTCCACAATAATAGTAATATGGGGGGGGGGGTGAAAGATTGCGAGAGGGGACTCGGATGTGTGCAGCCCGGAGCGCAGAGGCGAGCGGCGCCTTTAAGAAGCCGATGGGTAGGCGCACGGCGGTGTGACCGGCTGTCACTTCTGCGGCCGCCCGCCCCATCGCCAGTCACTCGCAAGTGCGGGGACTGAATGAGCACCAAGGCAGGGGACCCACGGCTCGGTCTGCGACCGGGGCATCGCTTCTCCTGCTTTTGATTTTTTGCATGCAGCGGGGTTTTGAAGGCGGCAGGGAATTAAGTGACAGCGTCCTTTTCAGATGAAATGCACCGGGCGGGTAAGTAAATTGAGATGCGCTCCTACGTTAAATCTGTCAAGTCTGCGTGGGGGAATGGAGTTGTGTTTTTTCCCCTTTCGTTTCGACCCAACGGCCGGAGATCAGAGCTATAACAGCTTTACGTGCGAAGCTTTATGTCTTATGATAATTGCCATTTGTTTTATTCCTCTTCGTGTAATGTTTTCTTTTAATACATTGCTGTTATATTACCGTCTTGTCATAATATCTGGGTTTTTTTTTACATTAAAATCTACCGCTGCTCCTTCATTGTTTTCACTTGGGCAGTTTTTAAGTTTTCAAGTTCAAGTATACCGCAATCGTGTACTTGTTTACATTTCCGAGAGCTGGATTCATGTGCAATATAAGAGAGACATCAGTTAAGCGATTATTTTCGGGCTGTTGGGGCACCTACTTTGTATGCATAGACGTTAGTACTTCGGTATGTATGCATGGTTATTTAAGTAGCCTACGTGTTTAAAATAACGACCTCCGTTCATGTGCTGTAAGATCGGTTTTTATCCTAATGTAACGAAATCGCCGCAGTTGACGTTTTGACCCGAAACATGCTGTAATGATAAATACAATTTCTGCTTTCCATTTTTATGTATGCCGTGCACCGTGGCTGTAATTTGGAAATCATTATTGCCAGTGACTCAGTTGTGATTTTGGCATTACGTTTGATTTTTCTGGACTGAATCTATTCCTGTATATGTTTCAGAGCGTTTGACACGGATTAAGGAGAATGTCTTTTTCCGAAAAATCTGTTTAATTGCGCACCTGAGGTCGCAGCTTGCTTAGCCGTCTGTTATGTTTGCCGTCTTGGCCCCACTGGACGTACGCGCGTTATTTCAGTCGCGCGTTTCTTCCTTTGCTCCGAAATATGAAATCGGGAAAGCGTCGCCGTTGGCCGACAGGGGGCGCCGTTTCGTTTTGAAAGCCGCCGCGCGCCGTGTTCCGACCCAAAAGTATAGCGGGTGACTCTATTGATCCCGTCCTGGGTGGAACCATAACAATAATTAATAATACGATTTGTGATGGTCATAATGTTTCAGCTCAGTATGTACCACCTTTCCTATCTTACTCCATGTTGTTTGGGTTCGTTCATTAAAAAATTATATTAATGAAATAAACTGATATCTATCTGGACCAAATGCTTTTTTGTTTGGTTTCCGCATTAGTCTCATTTGCACTGAGAACTCTGTAATTGGGAATCTGTTACCCATAAGGACTGCATCACTGGCCTTGAAATGGCTAAATTCAATAGATGTCACTTAAATATCAAGTTTATGTCTTCAATGTCAAGTTTATGAAGAAGCACTGATACTCTAGGAGTCCTCATCCTCTGTTGAACTTTGGCTGACCGGGATTTGGAAACTGCATGTCCTGACATAATAGTAGTAATCTGTTCACACGGAAAAGCCTTCACACGCGTCCCGTCGGGACCCCCAGGGAACGGCAGCTAATCGTTTCTTCTGAGCAGTGTGCGCTCCACGTGCGTCCCAGTCCGTGCGTTCACACCTGGCCCGGGACCAGCAGGCGTTAGCGTGTTAGCGTGTTAGCGGGCAGGTCGTCGCACAGCTCTGTGGGTTGAGCATTGAGTGCTGAGGCTTGGAAGGGCCTGCAGTGTATGAAGTGTACAGTGCAGTGAAGAGGATTAAAAATGAAAGATAGAAAGAGACAAGGAGGTCCCTCATGTGCACTTTGGAAATCAGATCTGTTAATCTGCTAGTTTGCTTGGTTAAAACAAAACCTACAGGAGCCATAGACGATCAAGTTGAAAACCTCAAGGTGCGCTAAGTGTGACTGTGACGTAAACATCTGTCAGGGAGGCAGTAAAACAAAGGGGACCCAGCTGACCGAGAGCAACACAGCAAGAAGCCTGTGGTTCAATTATGGTTATACCCATGGCCACCTGGGGGCGCCGTGGTGGGGATGGAGTGGGTGGGGCAACAGAGAACGTGTGTGGATGTGGGCACCATTGTGCTTTGCCCGCTAATGGCAACGCCTGTGCGCCCACCCTAGAGGGGGGAAAGAGAGGGCCATTGTTCCTGGAAGGTGCTGAGGCAGGTTCCCCCCCCCCCCCAGCCAGATGTTGTGGTTGGCAGGCCGTCCCGCAGTGGAGAAGTAAGGTGAGAGGTTTGCGTCTGTTCTGCCTGGCTGCCCGAGAATGGGAGAGCGGAAGCCGTGACTGACTCACGTATGTAACGCCAAGCACACAGATATGCGTGTGTCCATGCACACATATGCCAGCACACGTTTACATACACATGTGCTGAATATATGTGAAAAGATCCACAAAATTTCTGCAAAACATGTGGTGGGATTCTGTCGATCTGAGCTCTGTAAACTCAAGGGAGTGGAAATGTCCAGACTTGGCCAGTTCTGCCCTGTAATCTAGGAAAATCGTGCTCTGCAGATAAACATTGCTACCGCATGTCGTGTTCCTGCCTTTCCTCCCTGTGTTTTCACCCCGCCCAGGCTGCCCTGCCCCCGCTGTCGTTCCCTAACCAATCAGAGGAATCAAGACTAATTATTAATGATTTAAAACCTCGAACTCATCGCTGATGGATACCAGGGAGCTCATTTGTATATGCAAACTCCAAAGGATCATGATTTCTGTATGATTCTATGTCCGTGCTTCTGTCTAGCTGTTTGGTATAGCCAGTGCTGCCCGGTTTGTTCTAACTGGTCCGGACCCAGGCCCGGTTTAGAGGTATAGCTTCTGTAAACTGGAGCTGGCTGGCCCTGTATGGGTACTACACAACCACGATGTCATTAGTGCCTTCGGGGACTTAGCAAATGTCAAGGCATGATATGCACCGTAATGCATGAAATGTTTCCGCGTGTTGCTACAGTCATCTGGTTCTTTTGGTGCCGTACAATTGTTAACACGGTACTGATGGATCTGTGTGGACCGGATGCTTCTGACTGATTCCTGACGGAGAAATACCTCTCAGCACTGGCACATCTGTTCTTGTGCTCTTGTGTCGGAACGTCTGCTCCCAAACATGTTCTTGACTGACCTTCTGAGTTTGGCTTGTGACCCTCCTGCAGAAACGTCTGCGGTGGCCTCACTGTGTTCGCATTGCCATTGTCACAACTGCAAGGCCTGACAGGGAGATAAAATACAAGAAAAAATTATGAACGATTCATGCTACTAACTGCCGAGGTGTTCGTAGGGCGTTCTAGTTTTACACACCAGTGAAAACGTTCCGCTGTGTTAGGTGGGTTCAGCCAGCCTGTGGATATCGTTCAACTGAGGCTGTCACAGGCCTGCTCTCCTAGCCCTGAGGAACTGAAGTATGAAAGGTGACCGTTTGCAGAACTGGGCTTAAATGCACAAGAGAAAGACATTGCTGGCTTGACTTGCTTCAGCATCTGCAAATCGTTCTGGTTCATTATTCTTCACTCAAGGATTTTCAAAAAAGTTCCAAAACTCTCATGTTGCCAACCTTCAGGGCCAGAGTATCTGTCCTGCTGGGGGGTGAGGAGCTTTTAGCACGTGCCGAGAAGGATTTTATACGAGCCGTGTGCTCTAGGAAACCTGTGAACTACCTGAGTCTGGCAGCAGGCAAAGCCATTGGCTGCAGCATGTCAGAGCAGCCCGACGTGAAAACAAGATGTTAGCTTCCCCACCTGCAGAAGATATACTGTCATTCGCTCCATGTCCTAACCTGAGTGTAGATGTGGAAATATTTCTGTGTTGTTTACTGAGGAGAAGACAACGAAACCTGCTGAAGACCAGCTAGCTGTGCTCTGACATCCTGTCTCCATGCCGACCTCATGTTCAGGGGGGGGGGGCTGGAAACACTCCCCGGTACTTTTTGATTTGGTTTTTCCACACGGCCGGCCAGGCCGAGCTGCGCTGAGTCGTCTCCTCCTTTACGCTCGTTTTTGGCAGACACCGCCAACTGAGCGCCACATTCACTCTTGAAGAGAACAAACTAGCAGAGGAGTGGGGGTGATGGTTTCCTCTGCTCCTCAGGTGACTTCAGGATGCACATCTTGTGGCTCCCCGCTGTATCAAACGGAGAGCAGGTGTAATCCAGGCGGGACACCTCTCTGGATGACAGACTCGGCAGCCATAATGGCGCCTGAGCGATACTTTTACGGCGCCCTCGAGAACCATCTCCAGCATTTTTGTGAACGATTTAGTACGGTTTATACTGGAGGGGGGGTCCCTTTACACTATGTTCCCCCCCCCACTTCAGCTTCTCAAAGACGGGTTTGTTTAGTATGCACCACCCCCCCCCCCCAGGCCCCTCGGCGTCACGCGCAATTAGCTCCCGTCAAAACAGACCATGGGGAGGGCGTCCCCTACCTGACTAATGTTACGTGGCAGCCACCCCCAGCACAAAGCGGGCCTTTCACTTGGGGAACTGGGCCACATATGGAAGCCTTTTGCTCCTGCTCCGCCCCTGTGCTCCTGGCCCGCTCCAGGGCGACACGGGAAGCTGGGGCATTCCCCGGCACACCACCTGCACATGGCTTCCCTTTCCATTCCGAACCTCGGCCCCCTGACTGCAAATGTGAGGAAGTGGGCAGGAGTCGTATCACTGAGGCCTCCTCCGGTAGGGGCTACGGTGCTGTTAGCAGCTGTCAGGTTCTCAGGCCTCAAGGACCTCGTAGGTTTTGTCACTAACGGAAGATCAAAAAATGGATGGATGGGGTGGAGGCGGAGGTGTAGCTTTTCAGTGCTTTGCTTAGTTTCTGGTGGGAGACAAAGGTGGCCGGCAAGAGCAATGGGTAGATGCGGTGTGAGCCGGCGGGACTCAGAGGAGCTGAAGCAATTAAGTGACAGGCCCTGAGCTGTGCGGTCGTGGAGCGGGCCGCCAAAATGCTTACCGGGCACTGTCATCACTCAGCAGGCCGGTGATCCATGCCCTGAGCCACTCGGGGACCCAAGCCACCAACCGCCAAGAGCTGAAGTCGTCTGGAATTCACACATGGCCATCGACTCTGATTGCAAGCAGCTGATGTGTGGCTTTGGCCTGCAGCCG